CACTGACCGTGTGATGCTGTCCCGGGGGTGCTCGGTGCACCCCATTTGGCTGTGGGCAGAGTCTGCCGAGCGAGCCCAGCCTGTCACATGCAAATGTCCGGATCAGTTGGTGCCTGCAAACAGGAACCACTTTATGGAAAGCAGCCGAAGCCCTTCCCAAACCGCCCCGAGGAGCGCTCCGGGTGCCCGTGGGGAGCGGGTGCAGCCCCATGGATGGAGGGCAGGCGAGTCCTGGGTTGCTCTGCCCTGCACCAGAGGCCCTGGGCTGCGAGTAGGACGAGGAGCCCCAGCAGCTCCCACCAGCCTCTCCCAGAGCACATTTGCAGGTCACCCTCTACTAATGCCTCGCAGCCATCCTCAGGGGAGGTGAGCCATAAAAACCCCATCTGGGGTTGTCATTTGGCCTCTGTTGGGTTGGTCTCGGCTCCCCAGAGCCTCCCTGGCAGCCACCATGCCGTGGTCCAGCAGCGCTTCCCAGCAGGCAGCCTCACCTGCGCTCTGGGGACTTGGGCTATTTCTGGTCTGGTTGAGGAAAAGAAGAAGGGGAGGCTGCTCCCGTCCTCCCGTTTGTCCCTGTAATTCCAGCAGTGAACAGGACCAGGCAGCTGGTCCCAGGAATGCGCTTTGGGTACCATGAGAAGAAACACAGACCTGCACCTGGGACTGGGTGAGCATCTTGGCAGGTGCTGAAGGAGACATCAGAGCAAATTAATGACTTAAACTATCGTAATGGTTTGAGCTGTGACTCCTGTGCCAGCCTCGGACTCCTCTGGGCCCACTTTAATGCTGCTCCCAGTTCTTGGACAAGCACCTAAACCGGGGGGTTAAACATACAGCAGCAGAGGGGCTGCCTGGGGTCGTGCCTGGGTCCAGCACAGATCCCAATAAACCCCATGAATTCTCTTCTCTCCCCAGCTCAGCGCTGGACGTGCTCTGTGAGACATCGCACCTACAGCAGCCCACCTCATCCGTGAGCCAGCTGGTGATCTGGAGCAGGACACTTCCTTGCCAAGGGTAGGTGCCCAAATCCTTTGTGTTACCAGTAACAGCAGGGATTTCCCCTGCTCAAAGGACTCTATTCCTTAGAAGAACATGCCTTTCCGTGCTGCTCCAGCTGGGTGGCTGTGGTGGGGTGTCTGCAGGGGAAGCTGAGCATTCCTCACTGCACCAAAACTCTTCTTGTTGGGGCAGGAACTCTGCAGCAGCAGCACTTTGGGCCCATGGTTCAGGGGCTGCTCAAGTAGCTGCCAGCAGGGAACGAGGCACAGAGGAGCCCGTGTTATGCTCATTAAGTTACCGTACCGCAAAGCCGTGCCAAAATTCCCCTGGCAGCTGTACAAGCTGCTGCTGAGACCTGCCGCTGGCCGCCGCCCCCTGCCGCTGCTTCCTGGAGCATGGGATGCAGGCAGGGCTGTGCTGTCGTGTCAGGGCTGCAGTCACGGTCTCTCAGCCCTTTGAGGACCTGGAACTAACTGCTGGAGGCACAAAAGTGGCCCCCAGCTCCCCTCCATGTGGTGCCCAGGGGTGCTTTGGTGGGCTCAGACATACCTGGGCAGAGCGGGGACTCCCCAGCCCGTGCTGGCCGGAGCCTTCCCATGGCCCATCTCTGGCTGGAGAACACACAGCTAAAAGGGACTGGCAATACTGATGCTCCGGGGCTCATCCCATTGCTTGAGGCTCCTCCACTGGCTTCAGAGAGGTCCTAAAGGAGCAAGGGAAATAAAAGTGGGGCTCCTTCCTGGGTGCCCCAGCCGGGGACGCGTGGCTCATGCAGGCAAGCCCAAGCCTCTGCAGAGCAAGTCTGTCTCCAAAGCATTACTCAGTCATTACAGCAGAGGAAAAGAGCTTCCCTTGTCCCAGCCTGTGCTTCGGTTTTACTCTCAG